CCGCTCTCCAAGGAGGAACACGGACAGGCGGTTATAAGCCCGAGCAACAATGGCTGCTAGCGCTCCTTCAGGAAAAACATGCACAAAAATAAATAAATAACGGTCCTACTCTGACCCGAATTAAGTGCCTCCCTTCGAAAAAAATGTAACCTTAAATATCAGAAATATATAATATAAAAATATGTTTCATGACTAGTTAAGGATACTTAAGGAACGCGAATGTGATACGCTGGTGTTCAATGTTTAATAAGATCGAAATTAACACTACGATAAGCCTACGTACGATATGCCTGAAATTCGGTTTCACTTTTAGGCAGGACATAGGGGAAGACAAGAGAAGAGATCTTACCTGCCAGAAACAGTCTAATGGGAATTGATTCTCCTTTAACTGGAGCCCCATCCATGATTTCATACTTTGCGACCGTCTCTGTCTCTGTGGTAGTACTGGGACCTTTGGGACAAAAAACAAGAGTTTATAGACAGTGAAGTAGAGCAGAGAAGATGAACTACATTGTTCAGATTTATGCTACTATTAATAATATTATTATATATTAGTGCATACCAGCCATATGTCTGACCTGTGTTAGTTTCATTTTACACGTGGCTACACTGGCTTCTTACCTATGCCAGTTATCTCCTTCTTGATGAGCTGTAGCTCCATGTGTTGGATCTTGATCCTGACCAGCAGGAAGTAGATCTTCCCAACAATCACGTCCTTAAGGTGGTATCTGACAAAGATACACAGCAAGAGAAGCTGCTTTAACTGACTTTCGGCCAGGTCTTATTTGGATTGACTGTGGAAACAATAAAGACTTCTCCAGGAGAGTTAAAGCGAAATTAGTCTTACTTGGATTTATTGTATTCAAACTCAATGTGCAGACAGTCTTCTATGCCGACCTCCATCTTGATCGAGTTGTTGACGTCTGGGTATGTGGCCAACTGGTGGACAATCAGCTCGTACTCCTTCACTAAGTCAGACAGACGACGGACTATTGTCACCCTGAGGAAATACCTGTGAGAAGAGGACAAAGACAAAGCAAGCTTTAAGAGTTAGAATGAACATCCAAAGATATCAATCATTTATATTTTGGAGGGGGGAAAAAAAGCAGATGCGAGTCTTTTCCTTCTCCTTAATGTGTGGACTCATGTTTTGACATGTACTGATGATTACAAATGGGTCAGAATGTGGCTGTTTCTGTACATTATCAATAATATAGGCTCTGTAGGTTTTGAAAATGTTTGGATTGAAAAAAAAGCTGTGCAGCCGCCAATGTTGATTTTTTTATTGAAATGTCAGCGTTATGAATGAAGCCTTAAACAATTTGGGACAAACATATGATAATAAAACCATGCGTTAACTCAAACTGTGTAATAAATATACCTTAGCCTGACATTGGCTCCAGTATAGGTCTCATACGGCTTCTCCACCTGCATGAACTCAAAGTCGTAGCTCCTGTTCTGGGCGAGCTCTCCAGGTAGAGCCAACTCTTTCACCAAGTCCACAAACTCATGGGTGTTGCTCTTATCAGAGAACAGCTCTGTAATACAGCACAGTGGATGTATAGGGATGGTGTGTAATTCAAGACAGTTCAAACACACTGAATAAAGTTGAATACAGTAGTTTAGTTTAAAACCCATGCTCTTTAAAACACTGCTCTCATTACCCTCCTTCTCCTGCAAAAGTTGAAGGAGGGTTCAGCTTTACTACAGCAGGCGGCACATGACGACCACATGCTCCGTTAAACCTTTTAGCCACATGAGAACGCCAGCTGGTGACATGCCCTTTTCCAGTTATAAAACTAAAGCACTCATTTAGCATTTCAAATACTTCATAGAACTAATTGCATAAGATAAGTTGGAGGTTATATGTCAGCACCACCATACTAACTTTAGACATTACAAATCTCCATTCAATGAACACATCATGCAGCACTTCAAACACACTCACCTATCTGTCCAACAAACTCGATGCGGATGCCTTGGTGCTCCAGACGTTTTCCTCCCTGCTTCACATTTAGATTCACCTGGAGAGGTATCATACGAGTTGAAAGAGAGTCATCTTAAGAATATCCAGTAAGGGCAACATCTCTCTGACAGGAGCCAACCAGTTATTACTTACTACTGGATTCACCTTTACTCAATTCAGTTGTTACATCAGCTGATACATTTGAGTATCTTAGACATACATGTTTCACTGTCTCCCAAGTCTGATCAAATCTTGCACAAACATAAAATGATCTTTAATTTCCCACTTGGCTCATTTAAAGAGAGGATCCCAGAATAAACTGCGTTAGCCCAGAAGTCCATTTGGTGGTGACTGAGCAATGTAAACTAATAAATACATTGACAGCAGAGTTCAACCATACTTCCCCATGTGTATTAATGCCTAATGAACCTTGTGAAAGTTGGTATCTCTGTGTATAAAAAATATAAACTGAGTTTACCTTGCCAGACACAGACTCTCCGTCGTAGAACAGGTAGTGTTTCTCCACTTTCCCTTCTTCTGTCTTCAACTCGGCTGTTTTTCTGTTCTCTGCATCGTTCAGCAGGACGTCGATCTCACATACCGGCCCAAACAAACCTCCTAGGAAACTCTGAAAACATCAAACATTTAAAAAGGTGTGTCAGTATACTATGTTGACTAAGTCTTTATTCAGAGTAAATTAGGAAGTACTTGGACAGAAGAAAACGTTTCCTTCAGAAAAGCATGAACTGAACAGTTTTAAGGCAAAATAACAGTCGATATCTTTGAGTTTAAATGTCAAGATTCATTATAAGTGGTGTAGGCAACAAGCCAAAACAGGTCAACAACGCAAAACAGAAAACACTAATTCATAGAAAGACTGGACAATCTCTGTTCCCCTGATTTTATCAAAGAGACTGAATAAAACTTCAGTCACAGGTTGCTTTGTAGTTAACAGCAAACTGAGGCTATTGGGGTTTGTAAAAACATTTCTATTAACTCTGATCGATTACAATGGTATGTAGCTTTTTGCAATAATCACTAACAAGACCACAACTGATTAGGTAACATTTATACGAGAGTATACATGTGTGCACAAGAATGGGACTGATTCATGTGTTCTAGTCCGAAGTAGTAATCTTATACATCCCACACAGCGACTCCCTATCTGTTATTTGCACACCAACTCAATCACTTATCATCAGCTGCACAGCCACATTACTCTCCTCTGAGCTGGCACAAAGTCACTAACACATGCTTCAGCATGCAGCAAATCTGAAGGACTCAGCCCAATCATCACGATATCAGGAGAGACCAAACACTGTCTGCACACGAGTGGGATTCTTTCAATTCATTAAATCCCGTAAACGAATGCATAGATCATATAGAAAATACTAGTATAAACTCCAAAATCAACATTATGAGCAACACAGGAGCAACCATGATAAATATAGCAACAGTGCATCAAAGTCAGTGGGCGTCAACTTGTATTTGTCCTTTACTAATTGAACGAATCAATCAACGCTTTTCCAACCATCATATCATGTTAACAATAAAACATTAGGAATTTCAAGAGTTGTCTCTCTTATCAAATATGCTTGTGATATACGGTAGAATTTCTCATTACCCTTCGCAAAATAAGAACGTTAGCTACCATTGACATTTCCCTAAGCTTCATGGCAGCGCTAGATTACAAACAATGACAAGATAACGAATTGCTGAATTTAGAAAACAACTCTTTTGGTGCTGTCATCGTTAACCAAAGCTGCTGGGCCGTTAGCTCACTAGCCAAAACATAATTGAGAAAGCAGAGGCGGCCTGATGCTAACTCCACCACCCAGCTAGCTTTCCTGTCCGGTTTTAAATGTTAAAAAGCTGCTGTCAAGTAAAACTGGGGGTCAGTTTAAATGCAGTTTTTTATTAATAAATACCCCAGGTTATTTCAGTGTAGTCCGAACAACTGAGGTTTGTTTTCACACTCACCATCTTGGCTGTCTCGACAGTTGAAGCTAACAGCTAGCCTCGCTCCGTGTAGCCAGTCTTTGAACCAGGAGGTAGTACCGAGGCGTACCGTCATGTGACCCGGGTCATGTGTGTGTTGTCCGTGGGGAGGGAGCTAAAAATCTCCCCTGGGATACAGTCACAGGGCAGGGTGGAGAACCAGACACACTACTCATAGTAATGACAGTAAATAGTGTTTATGGGAAATTTCCATACTTTCCATTTATGGGAAATGTCCATACTTATAAGAAGAGATAGACTGACTTCAAACTACATTTTGGACACTTCTACCAAACTTCAGCATTATGACAAAAAAAATTGACCAACATTTTATCAGAATTGTTATCACATTTTGTTATAATTTATTTTTTCTTTTCATGTTATTATTAACTTGTTCATGTTTTACTTTGTATTCATATCCGTGGTGTGAACAGTATGCTGTATGTATTCCATATTTTATTCCTTTTTATTCCATATGTAAATACTGTTATATATTTTACCATATTTTTTATTATTTCTTAATATGTTTCTAGTTCTCTACCTGTGTTTTTAATTCTTGTTTTACTTTTATGTATGCACCACGACACCAAGTCAAATTCCTCGTACGTGTAAACCTACCTGGTAATAAACCTGTTTCTGATTCTGATTCTAATATGTTGTCTTGCATAAAAAACCACTCATGTGCTGTAGTAAAGTACAAGGTACTCACCATCATTTTGGTTATTCAAAATGTGTGACTATGTACTGAGTATTTTTATTTATTTTGCAGGTGAAATTAATTATGTCAGTGCTCTCTAGTGGACAAACTAATGAAACTATATTACATTTATATTCATTTATTTATATTTTTACACAATAACTTTTTTCTATAAAATGACATTTTCTCATTTCAAGCAAGCAAGTGAAGGCTGGAGCAGGGCTGAATAAACTCAATAAAACTCTGTTCACCCCAAACCTACTCAAACTAGTAAACTGACAGCAGAGATCAGATAGCACACCATTTTTGACAAAATCTCCTAAAAAAAACAATTGACACTTTTGTTATAAATCCTTTATTGTACTTCAAAAGCAAATTAGACAGTGCAGAGCATGATGAAATGCATGCATTTCATCATGCATATTTTGAATATGTTTCAGCTCACAGTGGTTATGGTTGGGTGAATCTGTTCCTGAGGGGTTTTGGTTTGCAATATTCTTTTGTTCAAGTTCTCACAATATTTTTCATAACCCTCCAGGGTAAGTCTAAGCTAAAGTGTCACAACATTTCAGACAAAGGAATCCAATTATATAAATATGTCTTTGTTTGTCTTAAAACAACAAGCCTCATAGCTCCACAAATTGGAACCACAGCTGCAGAGAGTGAGCAAAGGATGGACATAGGCTTTATCGTATTGCACTGATATTACACATTATAAAAGCATATTCCAAATTTATAGTAAAAACTTAATTCCAACTTACTCGTCTTTTCCACACAAAAAATGCATATACAGGTTAAGCTAAATCAAATAATGTATATGTCTCATTTATGCAGACCATTCTTTTACTTTGGCAGCTACTTTTTCATTGTTTACACTTGTTCTCTTGCGACGAGAGTAATTCCTACCAATAGCACTGAGAATATAAAATATATATTTGGCCTTTGTCAATGTCCAAGCAACCATGTGGTGGTGCAATATTTGTTTTAGTATTTGAATAGACAGGTTGGAAAAAAACAGATGGTAGCCTCATGTATATGGTGGGTGTATAGTCTAGAGCTGCAGAAGGTGGTCTTCTCTCAGCTCCTGCTCCGCTGGCTTTGCCTCACCAACCAGAGACCGGCTAGGGAACAGCCGCCTAATGCCCCTCATGCCCCTCACAGCCCCAACTGCGAGCAGAAAAACAAGGACAGGTCAGACAAGGATCAGACAAAAATTAGGAACTTGAAAACTATTGATTCCATGCAACTTAAGACACTTTTCCAAAATATTACCTTTGTAAAGATCCTCGCCCTTCTCTGCCCAGGACTCCCCGGAGCCTGTGTCACTCTCAGCAGCCCCAAAGGGCAGGTCGGCCATCAGCATATCTTCAGTGGCAGAACCCTCGAAAGATCCAGAGCCATCGTCAATCCACACAGGGGACTCCCCTTCCTCGGAAGTCATCGGCTCATCCTCTTCCTCTTCCATCTCTAACTCCACATCCTCCTCACTTGGTGGACTCTCACCCTCCTCAGGCTCTGCCTCACTGAAACAAAAGGGTTGGATATTGGAACAAATGTGAGAAAGTTTTGCATGAAGTAGCTGTGTGTTTTAAGAAGGCTATCAATCATTTTCATTTCTGTTACCGTGCTCATGTTCATCAACAATGACACCAAAGTAACACAGCTATAATAATAATAATAATAAGCCTCAAACTAATGAAGAGATTGTTCATTTTGCAGATGTATGCATAAAGAAGCAAACATATAGATTTACTGTGTGAGGAAACATAATATCAGTTCATATCAGGTATGTAGATTAGGCAGATGATGTCACAGCTTTTAAAGACTGTCCAAAGAATAGTTTTTTCGCGTATTTTGCCTCAATTGACCTCATCTGAGTACTTTAAGAACAAACTGTGCTATGTTGAAATCTGTCTGACCCTTATTTAGCTTTGTGTTACACGTGTTTTAGAGTCAAAAAAGAAAGCTTTAACAGCAAATATGTCACTTTTGGAGAAACTAAGGAAGCAGCATCAACTTGCAATTAAAGTAATATCCTTTTTACATGAACAGTACTTCTCACACGAGTACCAGACTAGTACGGCACATACGCAGTAACAAAACAATAGACCAGAAGCAGCAGCCCACAAGGCGTCACAGCCCACTTCCTCTCAACACTTCCCAAACAGTTTCCTGTTCAAGACGAGCTGCAAAGGCTGCGCTGAGGCCATTACTGCTTTAAGCAAGCTGAAACGATGTCCGAGGCAGATAACACTCCAGCTAACAGCACATCGATCCATAACCTCCATTTTCAAGTCTTAAACCATACTTTAAATTCACTACCTTCTGTCATCTACACTCCTTGTCTCTTTGTGTCTTTAAGTCTCTAACTCTAAATCATAAATTGTTTGAAGAAGCATCAAAACGGAGTAATTCTCAGTTGGATTTTTGACCCATAGTATTGATCAGTTCTGGTCAAATGATGAGATCCGATAGTAGCGTAGAAGAGTAGCATTTGATTTCTTTTTGTGTTTTGGGCGCATTGATTCTAAAGCAATCAATCATCACTTCCTCTTTTTGAGCATTAGCTCATCAACTGATAGGATTGGTGTTGGTTAGAGGAATACTAAAAGAGGAAACTGAGGGCTAAGACAGAAACTGTGATACATACTTCTTCAGAAGTCACACAGCTGTAATTTACCCATTTTGTCTACAATCAACTTTATCATGACACCAAAAACAAATCTACCTTAAAGCTGCATCAAATGATCTCTTAGTGCAGAAAAAAATGATACCAAACTATAGGGAGGTGAAACAAAACAGACCAAAGATGTACACCTTCTGCTTTAAATGATGTGTACTCCTACTGTACTCTGTGAACTCTTTTGACTGCACCTCTAACCTCCATGCTGTCTTTGTGTCGGTCCCTCTGTCTTTCTTTATCCCTCCACGTTGTAGTCTATTTTGGCTTTTCTTGGCCACCTACCTCACACTTATATGGTCTCACACACATGCATACACTCAGAGATAGATGCTGGAGTAGATCCAATGCAGCATCTGCATTTTGTTATATTTAAAGTCTGCATTTATCTGACATTACAACAAACGATGTTATCGCAATGATAGTTGTTTTGTTTTTTTCCAGACTTATTTTAACATTGAAGTAAACTCACAGAGCAAGTCGAATAGCAAACAAATTCAGCCACACAGCTCGTACACATATAATTTCATCGAGCTGATGCTTTTATCCATAGCACAATACAAATAATGCAATCAATTATTAGGATACAAATTCAGAAAAGCAAGAATCCTGATAATAAAAAGCCATTTAAAATCTTTCATACAAATATGTTAGCTTTTTTTTGGATATATATATCTTTTTATTATGTATTGTTTTTCAGGATGTAAGGGCCAAGGTGCAGTCAAAACAGGTGGGGTTTCAGTCACTCTCACAAAGATACAGACACACATGAATACTTACAGATACTGTGCATCTGCAGCAGGCAGTTTGTTGGGTAGGTCTGGGGTCCAGGACATTTCTGGACCCCGCTGGGTCACACAGTTGGCCTGGTCGCCCTCGGGGTTACATTTCACAAACTTATACACAGCAGTTCTAGGCGCTCCTAGAGAGAGAGGGGCGGTTGATGTTCAATATGTGTTTTTTTAAAGCAAGATTTTATGCAACATTTCACTTCACTAAGAGTTGTATTAGGCAACATCTGGTTGCTCATCTGGATCAGTTCAGTTTGACTATTAAGGTTTACAGCTAGATTACAACATTATTCTGCAAGAGGGTAAACGACGGCTGGTTTAATAGGCTTCAGTGCTGTTTATTCTCTTATGTAATGTGTAAGAATAGGAAGTAAAGGCATTGCAGCCCTTTTCTCAACACACCACAGTAAGGTGATCATAGAGCATCTCTTCTGTAAAGAAATGAGCCAACAGCTATCATCTGATCGGGAGATCTTGACTGTTTGATGATTGATGTTGAACTTTCTGTTATGGACTTTATTTGCAAAAGTACACTGAAATCACCTTTTCTTGTTTTGTCCTCACTGTAAGGGCTTTTGTGCTCTAATAAAATCATAGATTTAAAAAAAAGGTCTAAGAAACGGTTGGTGTGCCATTTCTGCATTACACTGACACTGCTACCAAATGTATATATCATATAGGCTTGTGCTATCTGACACTTGTATCAACCTCATTTAACTGGAGATGGAGTTTTATTTGTGTGAGTGTGTGACAAATAGTTTGAAATGCTATATGTTCAACAAGTGTAGTTGTTGCCGTTAAGTGTGCTTATTCGCCAACACCTACTTATATTTTAAACAGGTGGTGTCATTTTAATCAGTTCCTTTTTAACCCAATTTAACGGAATACAATCATGATTTGGCTGCTTTTCCTATTAGTTATAGGAAAAGGCCTGTAGTAATTGGCAGAACCTGTAAGGAACAGGGCAATAGGCAACTTATTCGTTCTTTTTAGATAAAACCCAGCATTTTTATATTCTTTGGGAACAGATAACAAACTCTAAATATGGTCAAATGTTAACAATATAAAAAACAAAAATCACCATTCTTGTAATACTGTTGATATGGAGGAGAGGACCCATACATATTTGTAAGTAGAGCCTGCAATATTACTATTTTATTTAAAAACATGAGTAGGCTATCATGTATTATTAATTTATTAGGGTTTTTGCCATAAAGTTCCCTTTTTCCATATTTGAAAAAAACGACACTATTATGTCATGGTGAGAGTCCAAAACCCCCCCTTACATGTTCTCACTTTTCAACAGCCACAACAGAAACTTATCTGGAAACTGAAACGCCTTCACTCTTTCCGATTTAACATAAATAATACCAGACAGGGTCTCCCACACGTGTTCCCTCATGAACCTCAAATTGTTGATATTTGTTCCTCATCATAACATGTTATCAAAGTTTAAATGTGTGTTTTCTTTCCCTGCCATCAGCTCAGAAAGAGAAACCTGAAGTTGAGTCATAGTTACTTACGGTAACCCATTATGCTGACACATTGTGAGGCAAAAAATGTCAGTTCCTAATATTTCTTGTCAATCAAAGGACCCCTGACGGCCCTAAGACCTCCGTTTGGACCACTTACTATAGCTCGGGTATTGTTAGGATATTCCGGAAAAGTAGTTAGTAAAGTAGTTATTTAAGTACTTTTCCTAATCTGTCAGTATGTTGACTTGTATCCAGTACAGCCTTTCTAAATAAAATCCACATGTAGTCTTCTGTGGGCTTCGTCACTAAATATTTTATAATAAAATTGTCGTCTTACCGTTTCCGTTATGTAAGGCGAGGCAGGAGATAACGAAGAACAGGATGAGTTTCATCTTCAACTTTGTCTTTCTTCAACAAAAACACCCAGAACAAATACAAAGGGTCTCCTTCCCAAAATGAAGCTTCTTGTGCTCGAGGTGAATAATAAGTGTAAAGTGTAAACTCCCCTCCTAAAAGAGCTCAGCCCTCTGACTGCGTCATGGTTTCCTGAAGTCTTCTTGTGCAGAAAGTGACTGCACATCCTCAGTGGAAACTTTTGCATTAGCAGCCTCAAATATCAGATATCAAGTCGGAGTTTGCGTAACTGAACACTAGGAAATACCAGAAGATTATATCTGTGTTTCTGATAATACCGAGCGAGAGGAAGCGAGTCTTAATTGGTCGCTGGCTCATTTTGTAGTGAGATAAGAACACGGTATCTTTCATGGCTTCTGCTTTCAAGTGAATATATCAATGCAATTACTTCTGTTCTTTTTAGTTCTCCACAGTTCATGCCAACAGGAATTTCACGCGATAATTCGTGTGAGAGAGAAAGAAAGGGATAGTTTTCACCTCTTTAACCTTTGGCGCTTATTTGTTCTTTTACTTGTGGTTTATCAAGCTTTAACACAGCATCACTTACTGTGGGTAACACAAGGAAAAGCCATTATAATGTGGGTTCGGTCCTGGGTGTCCCTGCAGGTCCTAAAACCCCTGTTAAAATACCTATACAGCAAACTCCACAGCAACAGAGCCATCTCCTGAGATACCTACCACACATCACCACTGCATTGTCTTCTCTTTATATGTGCAAATGTTGACTGGGTGTGTGTATCAGTGTTGAAAGTGATATATTGTGCTTTAGTGCATGCTTTTCTATTTTACCATTGTGTGTATTTGTTTTTTTTATGCATCAGTACATGTCATCCAGATTTATGTATGCATGCTTGTGTTTTTCGATGGTAATGTAATCAAATGCATTTATTACATTTCTTCTGCATAATATTATTCTAAAAGTATTGTACTTGCTGTAGTGCATTTATTAACCAGCCATACTTGTATATGCACACATATGAGATACATGATAATCTTCTAAAATATTACTTACTTTCTAGATTAAACTATTGAAACCGTGTATAAATCAGTAAAACTAGCTCGACCATGAGCACATTAAAATGCATTTTATGTTTGAAATGCTATAAGAGATTATTGAATGGCATCATGAGCAGCTTATGATGTTTCAAGTACATATGGCTGCTAAGCAAAACATTTTCAATAACTTGTAATGTAATATTTTTTTGACCACGTTATTGCTATTTTTATTCAAGTGTCAGATGAAAAATCTCCCCCCACAACTCTCATATATGTCTATATTTGTGTGTTTCACTTTCTGTGTGACGTAAGCCTGTGCTCGTAAACACAAGTCCAGACATTTCCAATGTGGAACACCTGGTATGTACCGGTGCCTCGGGCAGATGAAGTGTATTTATCAGATTAACTCAATGATGATTCAGAATTGATCCAAAATGCTCCTGCCCAGCTTAAGGAGCTGGAAGAGGACTCATATTTACGCTTTTAAGGAAGTGTAAATGATGGTTAGATTTACAATAGAATAAGGATAATTCAAGTGTGTCGACAGAGTTGCCTCACAGTTTCATAGATTAGCACTACGGAAACAAAACCAAGTGTCACAACACAACACAGAAATCTAACTTTTGAATGTTGCTAATGATCAGATCTCTCTCTAATGTCAATTACCTGAAGCAAAAACCACCAATCTATCTAGTGCAGGTGTTTTAAAAAGATCAATATTTTCAAAATACAGACTTTGATTGAATAGTTTCCTGTTGTCCCTACAGACCTTCATCAGAGTATTACTTTCTTTCTAATGTCTTTTGGAAAGCACCAGACTTTGCAAGGTTAGGCTTCTTCACGTGGTGAGGGACATTCTATTTTTTCAGTGTTTGAGGGTAAAATGGTCTTGAACCTCAGTGTCTCTTTAAATGTACCCCTCAGTGGTGTCATCAATAAAAAACAAATCCACTGTCTATACACAGATACATCAGTATATTGTGTATTTTGTATTTAAAGCATCTTTCCCTTCTTACACTTGAAATGACTATGACAATTAAATGTGTATATTGAATGGGTTATTTAAACCCTATTCTTTAAAGCCTGACCATTATGAACATAATGTTGACATTTCCAATGTAGTTAACATAATGTCCCAGTCATTGTTGCTGTAAATATTGACAACATATTGGCACATTTTGTCTCATCCATATTTAAATGTAAACCAAGTTCTTTAGATTTTATCGTTTGTCTGCATAAAATGGATCTGTATTTATGCACCCGCTCAAAGGCTCTGTTAAATCTATAAACACCCCAATATGCAGTTGTTGATAATAATTGGTTTCCTCATTTATTTGACATACAATAATAAGTCGATCTGAAAGCGCCCGTGGTTTTGTGATCATCACATCTTGTGAGAATTAGCAGTTTAATCTCACATCACACCATGTTATTGCACCACCGAACCCTGAATGTGTATGATGGGATGTGGTGATGCTACACA